GTTGGAAAAAGCGATGTTGTATAAAGTTGGTAACAATAGGTAAAATGGTTTTTAATTATTATTTTGTTATTTGTTTTTTTCCTCTTTTAAAAAAATAAAACCAACATTTTTGCTTTGCCTGAGTATTATTTAGAAGTGTTTCGAATATGTTGTTAATAATATATTTATATTAGGGAGAATACATAATATAATACATGTATTTGTTTAATATAATCGGGAAACCCATTGAACTATTTATAAAGTGTATTTATAGTTGGATTTATAGAGACAAAACCCGTACAAATTAAACAAAGTATAATTAACAGTTCGTTTAACACAATTAACGAGATGGTTTATATTTTCGTTAGTTACGATTAATCACGATGTAATTTGTTGATCACTTTGTTTTCTGTGTTTTTTCTTTTTGGAACTTTTCCTTTTCATAAACTAATCAGCTGTAATAACCTAAGTTGTTATTTTGAAATCTATGCTCTTAAACATTATTAAATAAAACAAACGTCTCTTCTGGTGATTCCGGACAGTAATAAATATATATATTGTCGTTGAATAATAATTATTTGTATGCATATACGACCTTCTCATTATTTTTAGTTCTTAATTTCCCAAGTTCATTATTTGACAGTGTTCAAAATCATGATAAACAAACGCGTTTTCTTCTGAGTTTTAATGATTGTTTGATTTCAGATTTTCGAAACTTTTTTATACCCATTTTTGTTGTAAATCAAACCTTTATTATTAAATATTATTTTTTTATACTATTTATTTTATAATGGATCAAATTTATTTTTTGAATTGGTGGTATTGTTGAGTGTTTAATATATAATACTCAGATTGAAATATTACTATTTTAAATAATATTAATATAATTAACAAATAACAAATACTTTATTTAATTATAGAAAAAGGTTTGCGACAAAAAATAAGACTTAAACCCGCAGTTATTTTTCGGGTTTTCTAGGTTTTTTGGCTTGACTTTGCTTCTTGGTGTTGGTGAGTTTCTCACGTTGAAGACGTTTTTTCCTGTCTTCATAATTTTCGAGAGCAACTCTGGTCGCTCCAACAAATTTAGGTTCTGCAGCCATACCCAAGAATTTGCAGACTTCTCTTGCCCCATTCATGTCCAATTTTACCACCCCCGTTATGTAATCTGAAATATTGTAATTTGGCGACTTCTTTTGTATCTCCTGAAGCTCGCTTTCACTGGGAGTGTGTGGCACAAATGATATTCCTGCTTGTT